TAGGGAGGCAGGGACGAGCTGGACTGGTTTTGGGATGCGGTGGGGGGAGGGGAGATTTTGAAACTTGTGAAATCCACATTGATACCATTGGGCTGCAGGGTTCCCAAGCGGAATATGAGTTGTTGTTCCTGCAACCTTCGGGTGGCATCGTTGTGGCACTGCAGGAGGCCCAGGATGGACATGTCGTCTGAGGAATGGGAGGGGGAGTTGAAATGGTTCGCGACTGGGAGGTGCAGTTGTTTAGTGTCATTGTGCCATTGTGCTCGACCTTTCTGGGTCCTGTTGAGCTGTTAACTAAAATCCAACAGAGTTGGCTGAACCACAGTTAAAAATATACCCTTTCATTTACGAATGTAATGAACAATGACAACTTTCGTAGGAATCTTGACTTGCCACAAAGTTGAGTGAGAGCAAGGGCACATTCATGTCATATGACGTCCCATTACATGTGAAGATCTGGCACATGTCTGAAAGTGTGCATTTTGGCAGAAAGAGGGAAAAGAAGCATATTATCGAAAGGCGAGAGGTTACAGAGCTCTGGGATGCAGAGGGATCTGGGTGTCCTAGTGCATGAATCGCAGAAGGTTGGTCTGCAGGTACAGCAAGTAATCAGGAAAGCTCATAGAATGTGATGGTTTATTGGGAGGGAACCGAATGCTGGAGAGTAGGGAGGGGATGCTTCAGTTATACAGAGCATCTGGAGGACTGTGTACAGGACTGTTCACTGTACTTACGGAAAGATGTTAACACAGTGGAAATAGTTCAGAGAAAGTTTACCAAATTAATCCCTGGAATGAGTGAATTTCCTTACGAGGAAAGGCTGTGTCTGTATCCTCTGGAGTTTGGGAGAGTCGGAGGTGATTGAATCGAAACATCTATAATCCTGAGGGGGTCCTGACTGGGTGGATGTGGAAAGGATGGTTCCTCTTGTGGGAGAATCTAGAACGAGGGGTCACTGTTTAAAAATAAGGGGGTCCCTGTTTAAAACAGAGATGGGGAAACATTTTTTTCTGAGGAGTCGTGAGTCTTTGGAATTGCCTTCCTCAAAAGGCAGTGGATGTGGATCTTTCAATATTTTTAAGGCAGAGGGAGACTGATTCATGATGACCCAAGGGGTTGAAAGATGGTCAGCGGGGGGATATACAGGGTTGTGGAGCTGAGGTTAAAATCAGATCAGCCGCAATCTTATTCAATTGGGGGAGCAGGCTGGAAGGGCCGAGTGGCCTACTGTTGTTCCTTGTTGGCATGTACATCCTGTGATAATGCGCTTCCTTTTCCTAATGCAGTAACCTGTTATAGGACACCCCATTGTGTTCCAAAGACCAGGGTTAATGCATTTTAATTTTTTTTATTGTTGATGTCTGCTTTTTGAGAAAGAATTCTGCGTAATTTTTCTGGTTCTCCCCCTTTCTCAGTATTTCATCATGGATTACTATGCTGGCGGAGACTTCCTGACATTGATGAGCAGGTTCGGGGATCGCTTCCCGGAAACTATGGCCCAGTTCTACCTGGCAGAGCTGGCTCTGGCAATAGACTCTGTCCATGAGCTTGGCTTCATCCATCGGTGAGAGTCCGCTGGCCATCATGTGATTTGAATTATTATTGTCACGTGTACCTAGTTACAGTGAAAAGTTTTGTTTTGCGTGCAGTACAGGCAGATCATACCATACAAAGTGCATTAGGGTAACAGAACAGGGCGAGGAATAAAATGTTTCAGAGATAGTAGGAACTGCCGATGCTGGAGAATCTGAGATAACAAGGTGTAGAGCTGGAGGAACACAGCAGGCCAAGCAGCATCAGAGGAAGACTGACGTTTCGGGCCTAGACCCTTCTTCAGCTGCAGGGAAGGTGCACACAAAGTGAGATCAACATTATATTTACGATTTGAGAGGTCCATTCAGAAAGTCCGATAACCGCAGGAAAGAAGCTCTTCTTGAACCTGTTGGTACGTGTTTTCAAACTTTTATATTTCCTGTTCGATGAAATAGGGAGGAAGAAATTGCAACCGGGGTGGGGAGGGGTCTTTGATGATGATGGCTGCTTTCCCGAGGCAGTGGGAAGTGTAGATGGAGTCAGTGGATGGGAGGTTGGTTTGTCTGATGGTCTGGGCTGCGTTCATACCTCTCTATAATTTCTTGTGGAATTGGGAAGAGTTGTTGCTGTACCATGCTGTGATCCAATTGGACAGGATGCTTTCTATGGTGCACCTATAAAAATTGATAAGTGTCTAGTGGACCATGCCGAATTTCCTTAGCCTTCTGAGGAAATACTTAGCTTCCTAGAGTCATAGAGATATATAGCACGGAAACGGACGCTTCGGTCCATGTCGACCAGATATCCTAAATTAATCTAGTGCCATTTGCCAGCATTTGGCCCATCTCCCTCTAAACCCTTCCTATTCATATACCCATCCAGATGCCTTTTAAATGTTATAATTGTACCAGCCTCCACCACTTCCTCTGGCAGCTCATTCCATACACACACCACCCTCTGCGTGGAAATGTTGCCCCTTAGGTCGCTTTTAAATCTTTCCCCTTTCACCTTAAACCTATGCCTCTCTAGTTTTGGACACCTCTACCCTGGGGGAAAAGACCTTGTCTATTCACCCTATCCATGACTCTCATGATTTTATAAACCTCTATAAGGTCACCCCTCAGCTTTCGACACTCCAGGGAAAATAGCCCCAGCCTATTCAGCGTCTCCCTGTAGCTTAAACCCTCCAACCCTGGCAACATCCTTATAAACTTTTCTGAACCCTTTCATATTCCACAACATCCTTCCTACAGCAGGGAGACCAGAACTGAACACAATATTCCAAAAGTTGCCGTAACCAATGTCCTGTACAGCCACAACATGACCCTCCCAACTCCTATACTCAATGCACTGACCCATAAAGGCAAATATACCAAACACCTTCTTCAGTATGAAATATATCTTGTGGACAGCCTTAACTTGCATTTTCATAGCACCTTATCCCACCTCACGTCAAGGATAAGTACCTTCTTTCTTTTTTGAAGAGCTGTCACGACATAGGAAACATTGCTGTACATTTGTGCAAAGCAAGATCCCAGAGCCAGTTGTCTTAAAGTGACATTTTTTTGTTGACATTGGAATAAATGTTGGGGGGGTCTTGTGTTAAGGTGGTAGTGTTCCTACCTCTGGGCCTGGAGATCCAGGTTCAAGTCTCACTTGCTGCAGAGGTGCGCAATAACTTCTCCGACCTGGAAAATGTTTGGATAAATGTGGGCTTAGAGAATCTCTGGCCTTGTCCTCATTGAGAATAGTGGCTACAGGGATCTTCTCTGTTAGCTCCCCATCTCAAGAAGGCAGACTGAAATCACCACCTTAATGTTTCCTTCGAAAGTCTGCCGTCTCTGACAATGTAGCACTCTCTCTGGTCTTTCTGTCTTTACCCCAGGCAGGGACTAATATCACCCCCTACCCCCTGGGGACATGTGAAGGCAAGAGATTGATCAATCTAAGAGGAGGCTGCAGAGAGAGAAAGAGAGAAAGAGAAAGAGAGAAAGAGGGAGAGAGAAAGAGAGAGTGAGAGAGAGAGAGAGAAAGCGAATGAGAGAGAAAGAGAGAGAGAGAAAGAGAGAGAGCAGGAATGGGAGCTGCAAGGTCAAAGTTGGTGACTAATGGGCAGGTAAAACTCAAGAAGAACTCAGAGACAATAGTGAGATTTATACAAAAAAAATTGTTCACAGGTTATGGGCTCAGAATTTATTGCCTAATTGCCCAGAGGGCAGTTAAGAACCAACCACGTTGCTGTGGGTCTGGAGTCATATGTAGAGAAAGCAGGAACAGGGGACTGAGTTGGATGGTCAGCCATGATCCTATTGAATGGTGGAGCAGGCTTGAAGGGCCAAATGGCCTACTCCTGCACCTATCTTCTATGTTTCTACCGGTGGACCATTTCAACATAACGACATGCAAGAAATGGAGGGATGTGGACCAAGGGCAGGCAGAAGGGATTGGCTTAATTCGGTGTCATGTTCGGTGCGACATTGTAGGCCGAAGGGCCCATTCCTGTGTTGTACTGTGCTATGACTCCGCAGTCGGAGGAGAGGGACAGGGCAAGATACGCATCGGTCTCTCTGTGGGGGCAGTGAGTGGACACCTGAAGGTTATCAACCAAACAGAATTCTGTTTTATAAACCATTAACTCCCTTGAAATAAGTCCAAAACGATCAGTTTCCCATCACCCTTTATTTACACACGTGGAGAGTCCTTGACACTGATCCAGCTCCCTCAGAGCCAGCTCTCAGTGTGAATACAACCCCTGACACTCCTGTTTATATCTGTCAGCCCGGGCTCCCTGATTGGACCAGATTAACAGCCTCAATCAGGGAACTCACATTCTATGGGGTCCACTGGCTGACCTCGTTACAGGGACTACACCCCTATGTAGGCCAGGCTGGGTAAGGATGGTGGATTTCCTTCCCTAAAGGACCTTAGTGAACCAGATGGGGTTTTTACAATAATCGACAATGGGGTAAGAGGTTACCGGGTGGAATATGCAGGAATGTAGAGTTGAGGTTAAAATCAGATCAACTGTGACCTTATGGAATGGGGGAGCAGACTCGAAGGGCTGAGTGGATCTCTTGTTCCGATCGTCAATAGATTAGCTTTGAATTCCAGAGATTTTTTTTGCTATTGAATTCAAATTTCGCCATGGCGGGATTCGATCCCACATCCCCCAAGCTTTAGTCTGGGTGTTTCATATTGCTAGTGCCGTGACCATAGACAGGACGGTCCCAGGTTCTTCCATCCCATGGCCGAACATCCACTTAGTGTCTAACCTTGCCAATGGAGATTGGGAACCTGGATAAGGTACCAGTCTCTCAACACAACAATCGATGGAGTGGTGGCTCGGTGAGGGTTCACTAATTTGTGGTCGCAGTGGCTTTGATAAGATTCGATCCTAATTTCAGGAAGATGAGTTTTCATCATCATAGAATCTCTACAGCGTGGAAACAGGCCCTTCAACCCCAACAAGTCCACAGTAACACTCAGAGCATCCCACCCATCCCTGTCCCCATATAACCCACCTGATCTACACACTATGGGGTAACTTAGCATGGCCAATCCAACCTAACCTGCACATCTTTGGACTGTGGGAGGAAACCAAGGCAAACCCGCACAGACAGGGGAAGAATGTGCAAAGTCCACACAGACAGTCACCTGAGGGTGGAATCGAACCTGGGGTCCCTGGTGCTATGAGGCAGCAGCACTAACAACTGAGCCACTGTGCTATCCCAGTTGGGTTTAGGGCCCAACTCAGGGTTTAACCCAGAAACACAGGGAAAGAAATTAAAACGCTGAAAAATAGGCACCACAAAAGTCTCATTTTGTCGAGCTCCAAGCACACATGAAAAGAAAAAGGCTGTTTGGGTTCAAAACTCTGGTTGTCAAATGAGTTAATGATCTGTACTGTTTTCTCAGGGATGTGAAGCCGGATAATATCCTTCTGGATGAGAATGGTCACATCAAGCTTGCTGACTTTGGCTCTTGTCTCCGGTTGGGAATTAATGGTCAAGTAAGTACAGACACCACGTTTCCTTAAACTGTCTTTGGCGCGGCCAAGCTGGGCTGAGGGTTAAAGGACAAATTTGCCTGACCTCACTGCAGGATCCTCGGTTAGCATGCAGGCAGGAGCAAGTAATTAAGAAAGATAGTGGAAGGTTTGTATTAATCGTGAGAGGAATTGAATTTTTTAAACATTCATTCCCAGGATGAGGGCGCCATTGGCCAGGCCAGTATTTGTCACCCATCCCTGATTGAGAGTCAATCACATTGCTGTGGGTCTGGAGTCACATGTAGGCCCAGACCAGGTAAGGATGACAGTTTCCTTTCCTAAAGGGCATTAGTGAACCAGATGGGGTTTTTTCTCTCCTGAAAATTAGCATCATTAGACTCTTAATTCCAGATTCTTATTGGATTGAAATTCCACCATCCTGCTATGACAGGATTTGAACCAGGACATTACCTGGGGTCTCTGGATTAACAGTCCAGTGACAATAGGCCACTAGGCCATCAACTCCCTAATGATGGGATTTCAATTCAATTTTTAAAAAAATGGAATTCAGAATCTAATGGTGACCATCGACACTCTCATAGTTTCCGCACTCCCTCAGTATGGCTCAGGATATACTCACCGACCCAACTTGGAAATATATCGGTCATTTCCTTAAGGAACACTGGGTCAAAATCCTGGAATTCCCTCCCCAACAGCATTGTGGATGTCTCTAAACTAAATGGCCTGTAGCGGTTCAAGATGGCGGCTCACCCCAAGGAACAGCTGGGGGGAGGGGCGGTAAATGTAAATGCCATTGATCCATCCTTAATTCCTGAACTCTCCGGGGAAATTCTGGAAGGTTGGCAATCCCACATCCCTCACCCCTGTGCCACTTTCCTTCCAGGTACGGTCAGCCATCGCAGTGGGTACACCTGACTACATCGCCCCAGAGATCCTGCAGTCTGTGGAAGACCCTTCAGCGACGTACGGCCCAGAGTGTGACTGGTGGTCGCTCGGCATCTGCTCTTATGAGATGCTTTTTGGACAGACCCCCTTCTACGCCGACTCCCTGACTGAAACCTATGGGAAGATTCTCAACCACAGGGTAAGCAACAAGGGTGAGACTGTGGAGTAACAGGGCACACCACCAGCATTAGCGATGGGCCAAAGTGCTTGTAACAAAGCGATTGGGTTAGAGACATGGTTGGCTTCTGGTCGGTGCAAACTCATTGGGCCTTTTAGAGTCACAGAAACAGAGCCTTCGGCCCAACCCAGTCCATAATCCCAAACTAAACTAGTCCCACCTGCCTGGCCCATGTCCCTCCAAACCTTCTCTATTCATGTACTTATCCAAATGTCTTTTAAACATTGTAACTGTACCCGCATCTACTACTCCATCAGGAAGTTCATTCCACACACGAACCACCCTCTGTGGTAAAAATTTGCCCCTCATGTCTTTTTTAAAATCTTTCTCCTCTCACCTTTAAATTGGGCCCTAAAGTCTTGAAATCTTCCATCCTAGGGAGAAGACGACTTCCATCACGTCTATCTATACCTCTCATTATTTTATAAACTTCAATCAGGTCACCTCTCAACCTCCTGTGCTCCAGTGATAAAAGTCCCAGCCTATTCAGCTTTTCCTTATAGCTCAAACCTTCCATACCTGGCAACATCCTGGTAAATCTCCTCTGAAACCTCTCCAGTTTGATAATATCCTTCCTATAACTGGGCGACCAGAACTGGACACAGTATTCCAGAAGAGGCCTCACCAACGTCCTCTACAACCTCAATATAACTTCCCACTCCTACACTCAAAGGACTGAGCAATGAAGGCAAGTGTGCCAAACACCTTCTTAACCGTCCTGTCTGTATGTGACACATTATGTACCTGCACACCTAGGTCCCTTTGATCTACAACACTAGCTAAGGCCCTTCCATTAATTGTATAAGCCCTATCCTTGTTTGTTGTACCAAAATGCAACACCTTGCATTTATCCAGATTGAACTCCATCTGCCATTTTTCAGCCCATTGACCCATTTGATCAAGATCCCTTTGTAACCTTAGAAAGGGGAGGCAATGGCCTAGTGGTATTATCACTGAACCATTTATCCAGCAACCCAGATAATGTTCTGGGGACCCAGGTTCAAATCTTGCTGCAGAAAATGGTGGAATTTGAATTCAACAAATATCTAGAATTAAGAGTCTAGTGATGACCATGAAGCCGTTGTTGATTTTTGGGGGAAAAACCCATCTGGTTCACTAATGCCCTTTAGGGAAGGAAACTGCCATCCTTATCTGGTCTGGCCTACATGTGACTCCAGACCCATAGCAATGTGGTTGACGCTTAACCACCCTCTGGGCAATTAGGGACGGGCAATAAATGCTGGCCTGGCCAGAGATGCCCTCATCCCGTGAATGAATGAGAAAGGAAAAACCTTCCTCCCTGTCTACTATGCCACCAATTTTGGTGCCATCTGCAAACTTACTAACCATGCCTTCTATATTCTCATCCAAATCATTTATATAAATGACAAATGAAAGAGGACCCAGAACCGATCCCTGTGGAACACTACTGTTCACAGGCCTCCAGACGGAAAAATAACCCTCCACCATTACTCTCTGTTTCCTGCTGTTAAGCCAATTATGTATCCAATTGGCAAGCTCACCCAGAATCCCATGTGACCGAACTTTACTAATTAGTCCACCATGCGGAATCTTGTCAAAAGCTTTACTAAAATCCAAATAAACAATGTCTACTGCTCTGGCATCATCAATCCTTTTGGTAACTTCTTCAAAAAACTCAACCAAGTTTGTGAGACATGATTTTCCTCACACAAAACCGTGCTGACTATCCCTAATCAATTCTTTAAATCCTATCTTTTATAAATACTTCTAACAATTTAGCCACAACTAAAATCAGACTCACAGGTCTATAGTTCACTGGTTTCTCCTTACAACCTTTCTTAAACAAAGGTACAACATTCATCACCCTCCAGTCATCAGGCACCTCATCTGTAGTTATAGATGATGCAAATATTTCTGCAAGGGGTCTTGTAATTTCCTCCCTTACTTCTCACAATGTTCTGGGATACATTAGATCAGGACCCAGCGATTTATCCACCTTTATATTCTCCAAAACACCCCAAACATCCTCTTCTGTGATGTGAACTGTTTTCAAAACATCAAAGTTTATTTCTCTGCACTCTCTAGACTCTATTTCTTTCTCCACAGTAAAAACTGACGTGAAATTTTCATTTAGACATAGTAAGAACTGCCGATGCTGGAGTCAGAGCTAACACAGTGTGGAGCTGGAGGAACACAGCAGGCCAGGCAGCATCAGAGGAGCAGGGAAGCTGACATTTTGGATCGGAACCCTTCTTCAGAAAATATTCATTTAGAAATATTAATTTAGTATCTCTCCCATCTCCTTGTGTTCAACACAAAGATGACCTGCTTGATCCTTAAGAGGCCCTACCCTCTCTCTCGTTAACCTCTTGCTGTTAATGTGTTTGTAGAATCTCTTTGGATTATTCATCACTTTATCTGCCAATGTTATCTCATACCGCCTCTCTGCCTTCCTGATTTCTCTCTTAAGAATGCCCCTACACCCTTCATATTGATTAAGAGAATCCAATTGAACCAAGTTGTCTATATCTAAAAAAATTCTCTTTTATTCTTGACCAGAACCTCAATATCTTTATTCATCCATTGTTCCTTAATCTTACCAGCCTTACCCTTCGCTCTTTCTGACAGGATGGCGCAGTGGCTCAGTGGTTAGCACTGCTGCCTCACAGCGCCAGGGTTCGATCCCACCCTCGGATGACTGTCTGTATGGAGTTTGCACATTCTCCCGTGTCTGCGTGGGTTTCCTCCCACAGTCCAACGATATGCAGGTTAGGGTGGATTGGCCATGCTAAATTACCCCATTGTGCCCAGGGATGTGTAGATGAGGTGGGTTATAGGGGGATGGGTCTGGGTGGGATGCTCTGAGGGTCGGTGTGGACTTGTTGGGCCGAAGGGCCTGTTTCCACACTGTGGGGATTCTATGAATCTATCTCAGAGAAGAGGCGAGAGATGGCAATATCATAAGCAAGGTCATGCTGGACTCGAAATGTTGACTCTGCTTTCTCTCTCTCTCCACGGCCAGACCTGCTGAGTTTCTCCAGCACTTTCTGTGTTTGTTTCAGGTCTGCAGTGTCTTAATTTTACAAGAGATGAGAGAAGGCATGAAGGGTGTGTTATTACTGAGAATCTTATATTCGAGAAATCGGGGAGGAGGTGGGTTTGGTGCTGGTGATGGTAGCTCATTTGGTTGGATAGCTTGGTGAGTGATGCCCAACAGCCTAGTTCCTGACCTAAATCGTAAACTCCCTACAGTATGGAAACAGGCCATTTGGCCCATCAAGTCCACACTGACCCTCCAAAGAGCATCCTACCCAGACTCACCCCATCCCTGCATTTCCCATGGCTCGTCCACCTAACCTGTACGCTATTGGGTGATTTAGCACGGCCAATCCATGTAATGTGCACATCTTTGGACTGTGAGAGAAAACCGGAGCACCTGGAGGAAACCCACGCAGACACGGGGAGAATGTGCAAACTCCACACAGATAGTCGCCCGAGGGTGGAATCAAACCGGGTCCCTGGCGCCATGAGGCAGCAGTGCTAACCACTTAGCTCCCCTGTTACCTTTAAATCGTTTGCATCTGCCTGTGATTTGGGGTTTGGTGATGTTTAGCTACGTTTCCATCGCCCTCGAATTGGTGTGCAACCGCCAGGACACCGCCCAGGAGGTGAAATTATGACGGGCAGGAAATTCTGCCTCCATTTTGTTTTGAACATTCCTGTTGGGTATTTGGTAAAGTTCATGAGATGGGGAAGGGGTTTGGTGACCGACCCTCAAAAGCCATACATTTGGGTAATCTTTCTCAGTCGCTGACTTTCTGTGGGAAGAGCTGGCAGGAATATGTCGCGTAAGGTGTTGGAGGCAAGAGATTGTGAGGAAACTTAGAACATAGAACTGTACAGCACGATCTTGTGCCGAACTTTTACCCTAAACCCAAGATCTATCTAACCTCCACCCCTACCTTACACTATCATCCATATGCCTATCTAATAGCCGCTTAAATGCCCCTAATGTGGCCAACTCCACTACCCTCTCCGGCAATGCATTCCACGCCCCTACCACTCTCTGAGTAAAGAACCTACCTCTGACGTCTCCCCTATATCTACCTCCACTCACTTTAAAACTATGCCCCCTCGTAACAGCTACCTCCACCCTAGGAAAATGTCTCTGGCTGTCCACTCTATCTATACCTCTGATCATTTTGTACACCTCTATCACCTCTCATCCTTCGTCATTCTAAAGAGAAAAGCCCTAGCTCTCTCAACCCTTCCTCATAAGACCTTCCCTCCATTCCAGGCAACATCCTGGTAAATATCCTCTGCACCTTTTCCAATGCTTCCACATCTTTCCTGTAGGATATCTCTGGGACCTGGATGAACTGGAGTTGGCGAACCAGATGTTCAGGACTCCAATAGTTCATGTCTGTTACCACTGAATGCGAAAACTGGTGATTAACTCTCTCCCCTCCCCACGTTCCTCAGGCTTCAATAACCTCCATATTTTCTTCCCAAAATGCCCTCAGGACTGTTTTCAGTTCCCGGACTCCATTCCTGAAGTGTCTGATGAGGCGAGGACCTTTATCCAGGGCCTGGTTTGCAGTAGGGAGGAGAGGTTGGGACGGAATGGAGTCAGGGACTTAAAGGGACACGCGTTCTTCAGGGGCATTGATTGGGACTTCATCGATCGGACCGAGCCCCCTTTCATTCCAACAAACACCAGTCGCATGGACACCTCGAATTTTGACGTGGAGGATGAGAATTTCAGCAGTCCAGTCCTTTCTCAGGTATGTTTTATTCTCTTCCTTATCTTTGCTTTTGTCAATGGTTTCATGCTCAGTGGACGGGTGTGCGGTCGACAGACAGAAATGACACTGAGGGTTTTTTTAAAAAATATTTTCCATTGAGGCACTCATCAGGACCCATGCAAGAATGCCAAATTTCAATCGATCCCAACAATATGGCCACTGGTGTTCTGCAAAGGTCAGTGCTGGGAGCCAGCACAGTGAGGAGCTGGAGGAACACAGCAGGAGATGGCAGCGTCAGGGGGAGCAGGAGAGTCGTCGTTTCGGGTCGGGACCCTTCTTCAGGACTCTCAGTGCTGGGAGCTCAGTTGGTTTGTTTGTAAAGGGTTTGGATGAAAGTGTAGGTGGTCTAATAAGTAAGTTTTCAGATGACGCAGATTGGTGGAGTCGTGGATAGTGAGGAAGGTTGGCAAAGGATGCAGCAGGATGTGGGTCAGTTGAAAAGTTGGGCAAAGAAATGGCAGACAGAGTTTAATCCGGACCAGTGTGAGCTTGGGAAGTCAAATGCAAGAGGAAAGTGTACAGTAAATGGCAGGACCCCTAGGAACATTGATATACAGAGGGATCTTGGGGTCCAAGTCCGTAGCTCCCTGAAAGTGGATAAGGTGGTAAAAAGATGGCATACAGCATACTTGCCTTCATCGGACAGGGACATTGAGTATAAACGTTGGTGAGTTAGGTTGCAGCTGTACAAGACTTTAGTTAGGCCACATTTGGAGTATTGTGTGCAGCTCTGCGCACCACGCTATAGGAAGGGTGTGGAGGCTTTGGACAGGGTGCAAAAGAGATTTATCAGGATGTTGCCTGGATTGGAGTGTTTTAGCGATCAGGAGAGGTTGGACAAACTTGGATTGTTTTCGTTAGAGCATCAGAGGCTGAGGGGCGACTTGTTAGAAGTCTATAAAATTATGAGAGGCATGGACAGGGTGGATAGTCAGAGTCCTTTTCCCCAGGGTGGAAATGTCAAATACTAGGGGGGGGCAGGGGTTTAAGGTGAGAGGGGGAAAGTTTAAGGGAGATGTGCGAGGCAAGTTTTTTACACAGAGGGTGGTAGGTGCCTGGAATGTGCTGCCAGGGGAGGTGGTAAAAGCAGATAGGATAGCAATGTTTAAGAGGCATTTAGACAGAGACACAAACAGGCAGCGAATAGAGGGATGCGGACCATTTCCAAATAGATGGGATTAGTTTAGAATGGCATCATGGCCAGCACAGACATGGTGGGCCAAAGGGCCTGTTCCTGTGCTGTACTGTTCTATGTTCTAAAATGCATTACAGGAGAAAAGGGTGATGATTGAATCATACCATTTGGCCCATACTCCAACCATCTGAAGAGCATCACAAACAGACTCAGACCCCCACCCTATCCCCATAGTCGTGCATTTCCCACAGCCAATCCACCCTAACCTGCACATCTTTGGACTGTGGGAGGAAACCCACACAGACACAGGGACAGGGACAATGTGCAAACTCCACCCAGACAGTTGCCTGAGGTTGGAATTGAACCTGGGTCCCACGTGCTACGAGGCAGCAGTACTAACCACTGAGCCCCCATGCTGCCCCATTGGTTGGCAAGAAGGGTTTAGGCCTGAAACGTCAGCCTTCCTGCTCCTCTGATGCTGCTTGGCCTGCTGTGTTCATCCAGCTCTACACCTTGTTATCTCTTATACATAAAAACATATGTATTAGGAACAGGAATAGGCCATTCAGCCCCCCCCCCCCCCCGGAGCCTGCTCTGTCCCTCAGTAAGATCATGGCTGGTTTGCTTGCGTTTCGAATCCAACATTCCCATCTACCTCCAGTGACCTTGATTCTGAGGACCTATCTTGTTCAAAGTTTCTCCAGTGCTAGAATAGGTAGTCCAGCGAAGCCTCACGAGGCCGATCCTGGGTAGTGAGGGATTTTCCCATGGGAAAAGGTTGAGTAGTTTGGGCCCGTATTTATTGGAGTGGTGGAGAATCAGGGGAGATCCTATTGAAAGCTCGAACATCTATTTGGGGACTTGACAGAGGAGATGTGCAAAGGTTATGGCCCCTTATGAGTAGGAGAAAGCCTTTGTCCTGGGGAGTGGTGGGAATGTGGAACTCAGTACTGTAATGCAAGGAGTAATGTGGAGGAGATAGTAATATTGTGGTCATATCTCTGGGCTAGTTTGTTCAGGATAACCTTCTGGGATCAAATCCCACCAGAGTAACTGATAAAAATTAATAAAATTTGGAACTGAAAGCTAATCTCAATAACGGTGACCATGCATCTTGTTTATTGTCATGCACACACAGTCTGGGGGTGGCATGGTGGCTCAGTGGTTAGCACTGCTGTCTCATAGCACTAGGGGCCCGGGTCCGATTCCACCCTCTGTCTGTGTGGAGTTTGCACATTCTCCCTGTGTCTGCATGGGATTCCTCCCACAGTCCAAAGATGTTACTAGTTTTTGTAGATGCACCATAGAAAGCATCCTATCCGGATGCATCACAGCATGATACAGCAACAGCTCTGCCCAGGGATCACAAGAAATTGCAGAGTTATGAACACAGCCCGGACCATCAGATAAAACAGTCTCCCATCCACTGACTCCATCTACGCTTCTCGCTGCCTCGGGAAGGCTGCCAACATCATCAAAGACCCCTCCCTCCCCAGTTATACTCTCCGCCACCCTCCTCTGTCAGGCAGAAGATACGAAAGTTTGAAAACACGTACCAACAAATTCAACAACAGCTTCTTCCCTGCTGTTATCAGGCTTGTGAATGGGCCTCCATATGTTAGATTTGATCTTTCTGTGCACCTTCTCTGTAGCTGTAACACTATATTCTGCATTCTGTTCTATTGCCCTGATATCCTAATGTAGGGTATGATTTGTCTAGTTAGTACACAAAACAAAACTTTTCACTGTATCTCGGTGCATGTGACAATAATAAATCATATCAAATCAAAGCCTCTTGGCTCATTTTCCACCAGGGGACTTCAGAGCCAATGTCCTGCGGTGTCTTTCCTGGGACACACCTTCCATTTGCAGGATTTGCATTTTCCGCAATCAGGTAAGACATACCCCAGGTAGGAATTCCAACTTGTTTTTTGGGAATTGAGGAAATGATGCGGAAAAAAAAGCCCAGAGAGAGCCAGAGGATCCGGCAGCCTCCCTGTGCATAACGAGAGAGAGACAGATTTAAAGTTTACCCCCACTTCACATCACCTGTGCTCTCAGATCCACGGCGTGAGGCTTCAAATCCCTCCCAAATTCAGTGGATAGGGAATAAGAAGCTGGAATCGGTGTCACTGTGAGATTGGCTTTGGATTTTAACACCCCAGTTTAAGGCAGAGTTTTGCTGGGTCGATGCTTATTCTCACCAGTGGATCTTACTGTGCCAGCAGCAGACAGCCATGGCTTAAGGCTCACCATCCACCAGGGAAAGGTAGTAAACTAGCACACAGCAAGAACCCACAAGGAGCAGGGATAAGGTCAGTCAGCTGTCAACCAGGAAGTTAAATGCAGGCTAGCACACCAGACAGAGGAGCGTCCTCAGGGCTCTTGTACCTTCCTGTGAAGGGTGGATCTGAGGTGATGGGAATCTCTGACCATTCAGCACAACACTGGGCCATCAATCCTGGCTTACTGCCCCACTCAGGTCCTGGAGCAGGGCTTGAACCCAGCACCTTGGGCACTGAGCGACTACAGCACTCCCCAGTGAGCTACAACAGCCACCGCATTGCTGCCACCCCTCGTGGGACATGTCATCGCTGGCAATAGGCCCCAATGATGGTGCCATGCAGGGAACCTAAGGGGTACTGAGAGAGCCAGGCCAACTGCACTTCTCCACCGCTCCGTCGGGAATGTGGTGCAACCTTAGGAATAACGTGGACTTCCCTCTTCCCAGACAGGGTGACTGCAGAGAGGCTGCGGGAGCGATGGGCCGTACAGTCAATGCCAACCAGCTGGACTCCAGCATGCATCTGAGGGTAAAAATACTCACTCCGCCTTATTCCTGCCTGGCTCAGCGGCCTTATCCTGATCCCTGCTGGAGTGCAGGCATATCCCTGTGTGTGTGTGTGTGTGTGTGTGTGTGTGTGTGTGTGTGTGTGTGT